TATATCATTATTTTTGGACTGCATCTCTACTTGTTTTACTTAAATATTAAAATAATCTACATAGTTGAATATTTATTGCATGCTATAGGTTCTTTATGCAGCAGAATAACACTTCATTTTTTAAATATGCATTTAAGTATTGCTGTAATATTCTATATTAACGTAGTTTTATTTTGTTACAAATAAAACATTTCGAGAAATTTGAAATGAATGTGTTGTGATTTTTTAATGAAAATAATTATTTTTGTCGAATCAGTAGTTTATATTTTTACTAATAGTACTAATTACATTTGGGGATGAATCTTGTACTTCCAATAATCTGAATAATTGTTTTGATTACTTTTAGGTACCATTTTCATTTTTGCTCATAAAACCAATTACCTTCCAGCATTTATGTCAATGTAACTACTTAATTTTAGTTAATATAGTCCTGCATTGCTTTTAATAAACATATTTACCTTAGGTATAAATTTTTAAGTGTATGATTTTTAAAACAATTACTTTTAGGCCATGATATCTCACATTTTTGCTGATTAAGCTGATTACTTTTGATTTCTAATATATTTGTGTTTTGATAACAAATTTAATTACTATTAGATGCTAATGTTTAACAAAATAATTTAACTAAGTGTTAACTAAAACGTTTAATATTTAACTAAATGTTTAACCAGTGTTTATGCTTTAAAGCGAATTGCCTATTCTTTAAAATAATTACTAATGAGAACTTATGTATTGCATTTTTGCAATCATCTTCGAATCAGTTGATAAAAAGGAAATAATTTGAACTGGAATATATGTTAGCGTTAATTTCATTACTAAATTTTTTTCCCTTCATTTCTGCCCTTCAGATCTTCAGAAATATGTTATGTTCATGTTAACAAAATTTACTAAATTTGCATCTCAATCCAAATATAGATTTTTTTCATTAAATTTAATTACACGTGATACTAACTAACTTACATCTACATATATTTTCATAGAATTTAAACGAACCATAATGGAATTCAGTAATTTTTGTATATTACAGATGCATATTTCTAAGCCATATTACGAACAACATTTTCATAAAACCTTAACACATTATTTTGAAAAAAAACTAATATTACCATTACTATTTTTTTATTATCTTCAAACCTTTTAATCTAGTTACTAAATCTATACATACTTATATGGTTATTTTTCAAATGATTTAAAAAGAAATAGGGTAAACTAACCAATGAAGGAACAATTAAGCTTCGCTTGCCTTTTAAAAAATCATATTAATTTCAAAATTCGTAATTTTAGTTAAATGACATTGTCATCATATTTGCTACTAATTGCAAATTATGTAAAAAAATTGTAGAGAACTTACATAATATTGTTTCAAAGTTTTGGAGGTTCAAATAACTAGTAGTAAGAAGACCAAGTGAAAGAACAGCTCTTACCAGTGAAGGAACACAAAATTTCCCAGTAAAGGAACACTTAATTTTGGTTATTTTTAATGCTCTTTATGAATTTATATGCCATACAAATATCTAAAAACAAGCCTATTCTTGAAATTATAACATACAAATACTTGGAAAATGTTAACTTTTTTTTGGT